GTGTGTGTGTGTGTGTGTGTGTTGACAGCTGCTAAAAGATAATGAATGAAGCTCTGAGGGTAAAAGCCATTCGCAGCATGTGTCAGAGTCTCAGTGCAAACGCCAAACACGTGTGTTTCTCTCCACGTTAATGAAAACCGTGTGGATGGTCATCTCACTCCTGTACGTTCTGTAAGAATCTTCTAGAGTTCGAGTCACAGTTCAGTCTGTGCTGAACGAGGTCCACGGACACACGGACACGACAGGACAGACCTGGAGTCCAGGACCAACTACACATGCACACGGACCAGAGGAACCAGGCAACAAGCAGAACTTTAAAACCTCCAGATGAGGGGGCTGAGGCATCCAGCATTCAGGGTGTGGGAGTGGACTGAAGATCAGGGTCGGAGGTCATGTCCAGAGCTGGTGACGCAGTGATGGTGGAAACAATGGGAGGACGTGAAGATGGTGCAGGACATGCCAAGATGGCGGAGGTGAAGAAGGAGTCTTACTTTAGTCAAACATGCAAAACAAACCCGAGCAGCGACTGAAGTGTCCGACATCGGTCATTTAAGGTGTGTTTGTGTTTAGTCGACGCTTTGGTCACTAACTCTGGATCATCGCTGCTGATCGTTGTTGACAGACATTAAAGTTAAGATGGCAGCGACCTGAGGTTAATGTATCTGATGGAAAACTACTGACAAACACAGTCGTCTTCTGACTCACGACAATCTGCTTAAATAACCGCCTGCTTTTATTGTGAAAATATCTCCATCTGTTTCAATGACGGCTGCCATTGGTCCATATATCAATGACATAATGACTGAACTGCTTCAGACACTGAAACGGCCCCTCGTGCCCGGGGCCCCCAGAGTGTCTAGAAACGCCCCTGCAGAGATGAGGCTAGTTTTTTTAAGCTGCTCGTATCATAACAAATCTTACAGTTGATGTCTGTGTCTGTGTCAGTGTCAGTGTCTGTGTCAGTGTCCCTGAACCAAAGTACTGACGGACCAGTGACCACTGCTGGTTGTAGCAAAAGTCAGAGCATCAGGTCGCTGGGTCAACACGTGTTCTTCAGTAGGAGTACAGAGTAACTGAATGAAGTACCAGTACAGGTACCAACTCTGGTACTGGTACTGGTACTGGCACTGGTACTGGTTCGTCCCTGGTCATGACAGCAGATATGTGGTATGTTTTAAAGAACAACATGCACAGGACGTCCAGGAGACTCTGGCAGCACCTACTGGTCCTGTTAGGGACTGCGGTGCTCTCTGGGACACAGCCCATGCTAGCATGCTAACGTTTCAGTCAGGAGCGTCAGAGTTATGGTTTGGTTCAGACGATGGTATGGATGGAGGCAGAGAGAAAAAAAAAACATGACAAGGTCTCCAGTCATGCACTGAAGTCAAAATGTAAAAAAATCCTCTTTCTATTGAACTTC